ATAGAATATAGAGAAGGAAGGAAGCCAGTGAGAGAGCCTGTTCACATGGGTCCCAAAGCGTGGGGACCGGTCTGCTCTGCATCCTGAGTGCCTTCTAAGGGCCCTCATTACTTCTCCCCTCAGATGGGGCACACTGCTAAACCCATCTCCCCTAGCCCCATGGGCACACTGGCTGGGCTCGGCTCCTCCCTTAGCCACAGCCCAGACCCACCTAGTGAACCAGGAGATCCGAAGTTCCCATGCCATGCTTGGTGAGGCCAGAAAAGAAGGGAAGGGAGCCGGGAGTGTGGCTCATGGCTGGCCCTGCGTCCCATTCCCAGTACCAAAGGGAAGCAAGACTAGTGGGTTTCAAGTTGAGGACAGAGAAATCACTGGAGCCCACATCCCAATACAGCAAGATCCTTATTCAAAAACCAATAAGGGAGTTTTAAGAGCTCCCACCCCTAGAGAAACGGTGTGCATTTCAGCATGCACCAGCTTTTTAAAAAATGATGTTAAAGGTTTCTTTCTTTCTTTCTTTCTTTTTTTTACATTTTATTCGTGTGTGTGTGTGTGTGTGTGTGTGTGTGTGTGTGTGTGTGTGCGCGCGCACGTGGGAGCCGTGGGAGCCATGTGGGAGTCAGATGGCATGTGAGAACCCTTCACTGTGTGGGTCCTGAGGGTCTAATTCAGGTCATCCAGCTCTTTGCTTCACCACTGACCTGTCTCACCAGCCTTGTGAACAGGTTTTGTTTTGTTTTTTTATTTTCACTTTTTCTCGGAGCTGAGGACCGAACCCAGGGCCAGCAAGTGCTCTACCACTGAGCTGAACCCCCAACCCCTTGTTCTGTGTTTTTAAGACAGGATCTTGTGTAGCCCAGGTTGACTTCCAACTTGTTACACAGCTAAGACTGGTCCTAAACTTCTGGTCCCTCCTGCCTCCAGCCCTAGTCATAAAGTTCAGCTTTACAGCTATGTTCTTATCTGATGTTACCATTAGAAAATTCCTATACCGTGGTTTGATTATTAATTTTTTGGTGCGTGTATGTGTGTGCACTTGTATGTATGTGTCTGCCCATGCGTGTAAAGGCTGGAAGTCAGTTAGATGTCTCCACCTTATTTTTTAATTATTTTAATACATGTATGAGTGTTTTGCCTGCATGCATGTCTATGCATGCCTAGTGCCCAAAGAGGCCAGAAAAATGGTATCAGATCCCTTGGAACTTGATTTCCAGACAGTTGCGAACCACCATCTGGGTGCTAGGTTCTGAACCCAGGACCTCTGGAAGGGCAACAGGTCCCTTTAACCACTGGGCCATCTCTCCAGCCCCACTCACTGCCTTATGGTAAGGTCTCAGTGAAGCTGGGGTTGCAGATCCAGCTCGGCTGGCTGACCAGCCCAGGGACGCTCCGGTTTCTACTTCTCTGGCGCCGGGATCACAGTGTGCACTGACCACTTTATTAAATGTGGTTAGAGACAAAATCCTGCTGTGTAGCCCTGGCTGGCCTGAGATTTGATAGATGGACCAGGCTGGACTCACAGAGATCTATCAGCCTCTGCCTCCTGAGTGCTGGGATTAAAGACATATGCCACCATCACCCAGCAACAACCATCTTTTTTTTTTTTT